TAATGAAGTATTGAATAAAAATCGTACAAATTTCTATCAATTTTATATAACGACTGTAGTGCACATCTGTGTCATATGTTTTACGTATTATTAAAATTTCACCATTCTAATAAGAAAACTCGCATACAATATTCCGCAGCTGGTGGAAAAGTTAATTACTATTAATGCCAGAGTAGAGCCTCTGCCTATTTATTAACTGATTATTATGAAAATTATCGATGGAGGCCACGTAGTGCTCAGTTTTTGTCGGCTGGATTATCAGTAAGGACGGCCTGCTCGACTTTCCGCGACGTCGCCGGCTGATAATCGATCCCGCTGTACTAGTACGGAACGTATTAATTAACATCCGTCGTAATGGGACACCAGAATCAGTATAGCGCCATCGTATGCCGAGCGCGTTCCAGCGCCTTAGAGACGACCGGTGTTGCCTAATAAAAAAATATTTTCTCGCCTCTGTTGCAACGATGATTTCACCGTGGCCGAAAGTGCTCGCCATAATTATGCTCGGATCGACGCGCCGACACATTAGATCACGCTTCCGTAATTCACCGAAACAATACGGTGTGCCGGGAACGAATTATCCAGTGCGGTCAAGACGCGCGCGCTACGAGGTCTAATGGAAATAATTTTTCGCGGGTATACCTAGCTGGAAGCAATCGTATTTCCCCAAGATAACACTGGCATATCGAATTGAACACATTTTCTGCCTCGGAAACGACATCAGCCGATCTTGATTGTTTTTAGGTGAATATGCTGGTGAATATTTTTTATTAGTTCTAATTTCGGACTGTATGTATAAGTGGTTGAAATCCCGAAAAGCTATTCCGGTCGACTAACTTTACACGTAAACATGAAAAATAATTGGAAAACGTCTTAAAAGGAAAAGCTTATACCTGGTACTTTATTAAGAAAAACAAATGTAAATTTTGCAAATGATTTTCAACTTTTATTGTGTAAACTCGTCTGTCTAAAAGAGTTAAAAATTATCTCAGGATTGCAAGTATTTACGGAGGACTCCAACCCCCTTGTATCCTTGAAACTAGAACTAACAAAAAAATGTTCACTAGCCCATTCGGATTCAGCGACCTGAAAGCTTATATCTTCTACCTCATCGAGGAAAAAAAAATGCATATTTTGCAAATGATTTTTAACTTTCTTTGCAGAGATATAATAGGCACTTTCGTTGTTCGCCAGTGCAATCGTTCAGCGCTTAAATACAGCGTCGTATTGTTCACGCTCGAGCCTCTAGCGGAAAAAATTCCTATAAATAATTACAAAAAATTGACTTGAAATAGAAATTTGTAGAAATTTTTATACCTTCGTTGAAACATTTGTTTCTTTGTAAAAATATCTCCGGCAGGGGCTTCGCGCTGCAATGTTCGACACACGGAGAGGTCGTGGCGGATTTGCAGGCGTTCGCTGCTGCAAATCCGCCATATCCGCCTTTCCCAAGAGCGGAGGCTGTTCTTAATCATCGATCATAATGATCCGTACTAATCCATCACTTTCGCTCGCCCGCGACGACGAAGGGGGACTTTCAGTCCCGGCACGTCGTCGAAAGTCCATCCGCTGTTTCGCCCGGTAATTATTTACGGTTAGCGTGAGGACGACGAAAAGTGCGTGTCGGAGTGCGAAGGCGAGAATCGGAGAAAGTCGTCGCGCGGAGGAAAATCGTTCTAAGACACACCGACACCGACGTCGTTCGCAACGGGGGGAGCCCCCCCTTGTCACGCGACATACCGCAGAAATGACAGCGCACGTGCGCTACTTGCGCAAAGCAAAAAAAATGTCCCATCGTTTAATGAACGGTAATCAAGTCGCGAGAGGCGCGCGGCGTCGGTGCCCCCGAATCTCAGGTACCGCGATGGAAATGGTAGAAACCGACGTGGGATGACGTTAAATTATTTTGCGCAGCTGTAGACGGCACCGGGACGACCGTCAAGTATCGGCAAATATCGAGGAAATTCCGTTTCGTCGGGTGGAAAGGCGCTCATTACAATTCGTCCACATCCGTCACGCGTTACCGAGGAATTTCACCTCGTTCGGCTGGCGCGGCCTTCCCCTCCTCACCCTCCCACATCCGGATGTGAAAACGAGTTTACCCAAACGATTATTGCCCGTCGAGAGGGGGGGGGGGGGGGAGATATTATTCGAAAGCGGTCGGGGGACTGTAATCGATTCGATTTCCGCGGCGTACAGTCTACTTTCTTTTGCGATACAAGTTCAAGGTCGTTTCCGAGAAAAATCAAGGATACGTTATACTCGTTTCGCACGCGCTCGTAATTCACTTTATGCACGTGGAACACATTATTCGATGGAATTTTAATCGAAAGCAATCAACGAGAGAGAGAGAGAGAAAGAGAAGGATGGAATAACAGCGGGAAAGAGACGCGGCATTATCTCTGCACTTTATGTAGAAATGTATTTCTTTGTGTTGAAGACCGGAAATTAATCCGCGCGTGTTCACACAGAACAGTTCTTTCATCAGTACGCAGTATTCATACGTGGTAATTTCAGTAAGTACGACTCACAGTATTGTTGAGTAATTACAGAGATAACTAGATCTATTTCCTACCACGTCTCGTATTTACATCGCTTCTTATATCATAAAGAAAAATTAATACACACCTATTGAAACACACGAAAGGCAAGATGGCCCTTTACGCGTATCAATATACATATCTTTTCACGCAAATAACATATATATATATCTATATATACACACAATACAAATTTAAGAAATGCTGGGGCGCAGTTACTTGTTAAAATTGAGATATCTATTCTCGTCGAAGCTGTCCTCAATCTCCTCGGCTATAACTATTCTCGTCTTCGGCTTGCGCATCTCGAGTCTCTTCTTCTGCTCCGCCTCCGTGAGCTCCGCGAGGTTGAGCGGCAGGGCTATTATCTTGCGCGGCTCGTGATACTGGATCTCGATGCTGCTGCCGTCGGAGAAAACGAGGGTCGTGGGATACGTACGTTCGTACACCAGGCGGTGCTTCCGCGTGATCGCCGCCGTCCAGCAATTAATATTTCTGCGCAGACCAGTCGCGGGGCCGCCGAGTCTCATGAGCGAAGCAATCATTCTGAAACGAGCAAGTGCCTCTGTAGCTCACCAGGGTTGACAGCGTTACTCGGAGTAGAGATTCGTCGTGAGGTCTGCGAGAAGCGACTTTTCATCGGCGATTGTCTTGTTGAACAACAGCTGCGTCAGTTTGTTGCCATAGATAGAATAACGTTGTGTCCCTCGATGCATTAAAGAAAAGATCAGGACAAGTTATATAATTAGAAAAAAAAAACAACGCGGTAAGCGGTTCCCATTGAACAATGTCTGTGTCACTTTGTCGCCGTAGATGGAACGCGTAATTCAATTGCAATTACAATAAAACAATTGCAAAGAGCCCAACGTCGGGTTCGTTGAAACTATGAATTATACTTTGACAAGGCCGCCTCGAAGTCAATCGATCTTCTCATTCACGAAATAAACAACGATACATCTCCCCGGGTGTTGACATCGCGCACCTTTTATAGGTTATGTCACGCGTGCGGGCGACATCGAGCTCGCTCGAGGCAGTCTCGCGCCCGTTGAAAGCGCCGTAAACTCGGTCTCGCGTAGCGGCGAGTGCAGCCTCGCCGAGACCGAGCTCGAGATGCCTACCTGCCAGGACGACCGACGTGACGAGCGACTTGACGCAGCGACCGGAGGCTCTGCGCAGCTGGGCGATCGGGGCGACCACGTGGCGATCCCGCGCGGCTGCGAGTCGGCGGCGGCGGCGGTAGATGGCGCGCGCGCTGCCGGAGTACAATCGAATTGCAATCGATTATCGAGCGATATCCGAAATTGGCGCGACGGCAGTCGGCGCGACCCCGTCGCGGCCGGTGCGTGCTTCTCGCGTGCGAGTCGGCCCGAGGGCGCGGGATCGATCGGTGGATCCTGGTGATCGTGCGTCTCCACAAGGCGGTGAGAAGCGGGTGACAAGGCGCGGGCGGACGCGAAGGCGACGACGACCGACTTAAGGTGAGTCGAGATCTTGGAGTGTGCCGCGCGACGCGAACGAGGCGTCGTGCGTCGCCGATCGGCGGAGAGAGGAGGGTGCGACGAGCGTTACTCTTTAAGCGTTTCGACGAGGGGGGCAGGGAGGAGGGCGGCGACGGCCCTTTCGCGGCGCGACGGGCGACGCGCGCTTTCACGCGCTGCTCTTCGTCGCGCCCTCGGGCTCCTCCTGGCAGCGGCCGGGCAGCTCGGCGTAGTCTGCGCGACTCCTGCAAGGAAAGGCATTTACGAACACACATTCTCTGGCCGCGCGGCGAGACCACCCTTGGGAAAACGTACCCTAGAAAATGCCTGATTTCACGTTACAAAGATAAGAGATGTGAAAAGTATGCGATGTAATCGCGTGATGCCGCGTGCGGTTTTCGGGAAAGTGCTGTGCCGCGCGGCCCTCTAGCGGGAGCGTCGGGCAGACTTGGCTATCGGAAGATTACTTCAAGGGTCCATAATCACTCGCAAATTTCTCAAGTAAGCTTTTAAAGTCTTCACGTGAACTCGCAGTTTTCATTTTATTCAAAGTAAATTGTCCCAAGGGCTCCGCGTCTCCAGCGCTGGAATGTAAATCGCGACGTCGAGTCTCCCGCCGGACATCGCGATTAGAGTTAGAAGTTAGTAGAGTTAGTAGAGTTAGCGAATTGAATTAGGGCCCGAACACAAGAATGAAGAAAGAAAGAAACTTGGGCAAGACTTGGGACTCGAAAATTTCGACCAATCGGAATTTTCGGCGTTGCTTAGGCTTCAAAATAGCTACTTACGTTCTCGACTGTCACTGGTCGCTTTCCTTTAAGCCTCAAGTCTTACTGCTTACGGTATTTTCGCGTGTTTGGGCCTTAAAGGCCCGTTAAGACTTAAGAATTTCAACCGATCGCAACTTTCTGCATTGCTTAAGTTTCAGAATGGCTGCTTACTTTCTGAACGGTCACCGGTCATTTCCCTTAAGTCTCAAGTTTTCCCGCTCAAGTCTTTTCGCGTGTTCGGGCCTTAAGTCTTAGTCTTTAAGATTTCTCGAGTGTTCAGGCTCCTAACATCGAGATGACCGATTCCTCGGGCGTGGTAAAAAAAAATTGGGGGAGAGGGGGTGAGTTTTCCGGTGAGCAGCTTCGCCTCTTAATTTTATCACTGCAGTTTGCCTCGGAAATACGCACGGGCGAAAGCGTCGTCTGCGATCGTTCGACGCGAGCAATTATCGCGCGTTTAAACGAGCAGGCGTTTATTCGAGGGCGAGTTTTAATTCCCCCGACGCCCTCAAAAATCTCCGAGGACCAACCCCGCGGGCTCCCGGCCGAGAAACTCCTCCCCGTCAATTCATTAATTTACTTTATCTCGGAGAACGTTACATCTCCGGTAAACGGAGATGTAACGGAGAACGAGGAAAGGAAAAGGGAAGGATAGGTGGACGTCTGGTTAATGGGACAAATCACACGCACTCGACGCACACAAAATCGTTGTTTACGCCCGAATCCCCTCGGGACGACTGTTCTCCCAAGCTACGCCGAGAGTTGTCTCTCCACCACATCGTGCGATCCGCGAACAAGTGAATCTTGTACAACTTGATTTGTTGAAAAATGCACTTGTACAACAATAATGATGATAAACCCGGGATATGCCTCATGCGTGATCGACCGTGATTCTTGCGCCTGTCCCGCGGCGAGATAGGATAAGGGGGTCAATTCTGTATCTTGCAACATACCGAAAGCTGCTGAAAGTGAGCGGCTTTGTCTCTTTCCAAGGCGGGCAGTTAGAAAGACCCCGGTGAGAACGCTAACGTCGAGTCGACGTCAACGGGGTCGAAACCGCGTTCCAACCGGTTTTCGAAAATAATCGAAAAGTTTCGGAACTTTATTTCTCGTATAATTTCAATAGCCTAGGCAGAAGCGTTTAAAATACCGTTTAGGCCCGGTCTACAATGAGTCGTTAGTCGTTAGTCAGAAGTCGGAACTATATGTTGATCCTTTTCCTTTCTGGGTGGAAGAAAAAGGACCGACATATAGTTCCGACTTCTGACTAACGACTAACAACTCATTGTAGACCGGGCCTTAGAGAAAATACGAACGGGCGCGGTTGTAATATCGGTACGTTTGGACTTAAAATTAAATAAAATTAATAAATAGAATTAACTGATGGACTCTAGGGGGGGGGGGGGAAATTATAAAAGTAAAAAGTATTTATATTGTGCGCGCGGACGTGCGCGCGATATACAAATCTTTTACTTGTATAATTTATTTAAAAATATATATTCTCTGCGAAATGCTCTCGGAATGAATATCGATGTTGAAAAAAAAGGGGGGGAGGAGGAATATAAAACGTGCGTGTACCGCTCGGTATCATGCTTGCGTATATCCCTTTTGTGCGCGCACATTTTAGACTTAATATTTTACCTACTATATCCTATATACATAATAATGATAAATGAGAAAATATTCAGGCAGAGATTTATGTGAATATAAAAACGTCTACATAAAATATGGATCGGGGAGAGAGGATTTTCAGGCTGGGGGAGGGGGAGGGGGGGGGGAATTAAGTCCTCGTCGTAGAGTCGCTATATTCTGCCGTTCAGGTCAATCACCTTCTCATCGCTATGTCTGTAAAATCAAAGTCTTGCTCTACGTCACATCTACAATTGCACAACTCGCTAAATAGATAAGACGAAATGGCAACATACATGTATATACACAATTACGGAAATCCAACCATAACGGAACATTCTATTCTCGTACAAAAATTGTTTAACGCACTCACTCATTGTGCACGTGTATTTATGCAAGTACAGTCAGACGTGAATAAATTAACGTGGCGGCGCACCGAAGCGGGTTAGCCCGATACAATCGTGCATTAATCATGCTCGTTGTCATAACGTATGATAAAAATAAGATAACAATGAGAGATCAATAGACATCCACACTTCTGCATGCACGTGCGGTATCGCTACAGATTCATTAGATCTTATGTGAAAGCTTAATCCGCAAGACTCCCTTTATTTCATTAGTAGCACAGGGTCAGGATTCCTAAAAAGTTATTCGATAGAGAGTGGCATGCGACCGAGAGAACGAGAAAAAAAAGAGGGGGAAGAAAAATTGGATGCAAAGCGCAGCAATGTTAAAGCGTGCGTGTATACGTACCTGTACAGGACATAGTGCTGTATTATGAAAAATACATCGAACGCCACGGAAAAGAATCCAAGGCCGAATTTAGTCGGATCTCCGAAAATGCTCTCCCAATCGTCTGAGATAAAAATTTACGACGTTAACGCTCCGCGTGGATTGATTCGCGCGTCCCGAACGCGCGGGACTAAGGTAGATCTAGGCTGTATATCATATTCGACATGTTTACCGTAATTGTAAGCGTTGAGTATCATCTGCAGCATCGACAGAACGCCACCGGTACAATCTAAGAATATATTCCCTATACTCCAGCCGACGGTGGACTTCCTCCTGTAATTGTAATACGCCTGCGGTACGTATTTAATGAGCGTTATGCTGAGCTTGACGTAGCTGCAGTAGTAGAGGAAGTCTAGCCAGTGGATTGTCTTGACGCAAGATAATATCAAAGATATCAATATGAAAACCGCGAATATCCCGTGGATAATCCGCGCGGTCGTCGATACCCTCTGATTGCCAGTCTGAAGTAAATATAAATGCGATTACATCTCAATTCCGGCGGCAGCCTAGCAAGCGCACGCCATCCCGGTCACGTTCGGTTACCTCGTAAATAAAGCACTGCCCGATAGTTACTGCGGTGGCAAATACCGCGTGCAGCGAGAAAAATATATCATTGATTTGCACGGGATTCAAGCCTTTCGGATATCGATCGAAATACTCATTCTGAAAATATTTTAATAAATTAGTCGATCGTCACATACATATGCGCACACACGTGTGTATTTTTGCGCGTTTTGCATTCTTACGTATCTATAAAAATATATTTCACTGATAGTGCACGCACACATATACTCTCTCTCTCTCTCTCTCTCTTTCGCTCGCTCTGTACGTATGTAACTTTTATCTCATTGCAAAATATAATAATACGGCAATACCTTACCTCAACCTCGGGTATCCAGTAGAGGCAGCAATTGAACAGCGAGTACATAAGAAAACCGACGATATTTAGCGACAGATAATCGAAATTGAGGCCCACGACACTTTTACGTTTGTAATTAGTATAGATCTGCGGATAGAAGCTTACGCTCCACGCTAAGAAATATATCCATCCGACCACAGCACTGACGTGGTACAACGCATCCGATTTCTCTATTGTCACTCTAACAAACGCTTGAGAGAAACTAAAAGAAAATATACAGGAGATAGTTACTTTCATGCGCCGTGCACGTCGAGGTGTTATTTAAGAAACGTGCGTTGCGTGAAAAATGGCAGGAATAGAATTTGCTCACTTTAAGTCGATGGTACGTAATTGATCCCGAGGTATAATAATAATTTTATACATAGACATCTTAAACTTCACGTTTCCCTAACTGTTACGACTTCGCGATCAATTTATTTTGCACAAATCGTTTCCCCCCCTTTTTTTTTCTTAGAACCAATATTGAGAAGCACCTCCGGAAGTATCTCGTTACTGATATGCATTTAGTAAATTTCAAGATTTATTATCAATAATCACACAGAGAAAATATTAAAATCACTTGTAAACCAATTCGGACACGGCACCGTGCGATCGAACTAGGAAGTGATCGGGTCAAAATCTGGGCACGGACTAACGGAAACTTCAAGTTTCAGCTCGCCTGACAAGTGCAGGTCAAGAGGCTATCTGTGCAGCCTTAGCCAGCAGCCTTAGTGCAATGGAACGTGAACGTAGCACTGATCGGAATCTTTTCGGAACTAGTTACCGAGACAGAGAGCGAGGCATCGAATGCTATAGGTCTCTCGCCCCCCCCCCTCCCGCTGTTTATTGTTGTGCAACATTCGATTATGAATGCTTACGCGTACATAAATAATTTGCCCGCAATCGGCCGTTATTGAAAGCACCAACAACTGATTAGAGTTTACGAAAATAAGAGAAAGGCTCGCGAAATCTCTCTGCGAAACGTTCCATTACACGCATACTTACTCCGTGATATCGCTAGGTGTTACATTAGCGCTAACGGTCGAGTGACCTGCGCCCAGGCCTTTAACACTAATAACCCAGTCTCCTTGCGAGTCTCCCGCCGCGATAGAAAAGTTAGACGGGCTCGCGGACAGCAGATCGGGATGCTGCACATCTATCGTGACTATCGCGCTTCTGCCATCGGGTAGCGATTCCCTGGAAAGCAAGAGACATGTCTGGTAAATCGGGCGATCTCACATTTAACGTGTTAACGCGTGCTTGTAATCCCGAGGCAAGTGGTGAACCCCCGAGGGCATTGTGGCGTACGGATTTGTGGCATTACTAGACACTTTTGGCAATTTGTTCGGGCATTATAAAATTGCAGGAAAATGATAAGACAAAGTAATGCTGAGCATTAGTGGGCATTGATGTGCGTGATTTTGGTCAGCGGTTTACCCCCCGTTCCCAGACACACCGATACAAATCTGTCCGTCTATCGGGGCGTCTGTAATTGAATGATAATGCATAAAGTCCAGAGGTTGCGCTAGTCTCCGCTGTTATCAGTATATACTTTTAGAACGTGCGATAAAGGGGATTAAAACGAATTCTACGGCATCCAAGAATCAGGCGATACGATTGGAATGTGGGTGAAGGTGACGAAACGTGCTAGTTTCCAGATACTTTCTTGCCATTTGTGTGTTCAACGAAGGGGTTCCCGTCGGATTTCGCCTCGCGGGCGATACCGCGTCGCTCTCAGAGGTGAAGAATGTCAAGTCACAGTTCTTGCAAAAAGTAAGACCTCTGTACTTTTCCCAACAGCTTGACAAACTTGCTTTAGTGGCCGCATTAGCTGAGACACACTTCTTGCATAGTAGGTCGGTCCAGGCCCGAATTCTGGCTGAGCTACTGCCTCTCGCAGTAAATCATTTACCGATCACTTCTAAAGGATGCCCAATTATCAGCATTTTTCAACTGATTGTCAATTCAATCGGGTACACTATTTCAACTTGGGGCCGCGTTTCGAGACGGAGAAGTCCGTTCGGCGCACACAGTTTGCTGGATTGAGAAAGAGACGTGTACAGAAGAAAGGTAGAATTAGGCAAGCAAGACATCCAGCTTGACCATTAAAGGCGTCAATTTGTCATTCGCATAAAATATTACTTGTCATCGTTGTAAAGCTCTTGTTTCTGCAAAATATGTAACTCGGCATTGTTCACCTCTTGGACACTGATACGCAGTGGCACTGCCCGCAACACGTCCCTAAGAACGACGCGGTATTGCGACTCGCCACGTAATAGCCAATAAAATGTGTAAGTGCTCGACGATATCCGTGACGCGTTTCGACTCGTAATGGGCTACTCACGTCAGCGATAAGTTGAACGAGCTCTGCTGATTGAGGTGCACCTTCAAATCCTGCGGCCACGACCTAAGGGCCCCCTGGACGCACGTCAAAGCTGCAAGCGTGAAAAAGGACATGTGATTGGCGACTACGAGACGGGGGACACGTGCCGGCGCGTACTTCTCTCTGCTCCAACGTACTCTTACCTGGTAGCAACAGGAGCCAGAACCAACGACGCGTCAGAGCCATTTTGTACGACTGAAACAAGATAACGTCCCCACGTCTTAGACCCACGTTATCGCTCCTTGCGGCGGACTATTCAATCATCGTTTCAGGACTGCCATTATCGTCGTCGCTCCCTTGCCGTGGTCACGCGGCGTCAGCGGGGAGTCAGCGCTCGCCTCGGCGACACGGGTTTAACCTCAAAACGCGCGGAGTCGTCGCGGTAACTCGTGCGACGCGACGACACTTGGCGCGTCGTCGCATCTCGCCTAGTCGCGACGCTCGTCCCGGGGACCTCGACGATCGACAGCTCGTTCTCGCGGATACCTGGATTTCCCGCGGCTGTCAACGCGACGGAGCGACCGCAACAACGAGCAGCGCCATTCACCGTCGTCGACAACGCATTACGCAGTCTCTCCCGTCTCACCGTTGCCAGGAGACGCTAGGACGACGCCAACGAGCTGAACGAGCGCGCGAGCGCAGTCCCGTCCCGCAGTTAGAAGAGCGATAAGGGACGACGGAGACGCGACAATGTCAACAACGAGCACGTGACGCGCCGCAGCTGGCGTGACACTTGGCGGCGAGAGATCGAAAGAGCCGCGGGGATAACCGATACCGCACAGTCATCCGGGTTTAGCGAACCCGCGCGTCCGAGCGAGCACGTTACAGGAGATACACACGCGTGCAGTGATGGGACAGAATGGTTTGCCTCTCTTTTTTATTTTTTAATGAGTTTAGGAACTCGTGAAATAGATCGGAAACGCTCAAAATGGTTTCGAGATGGCCATCGAGTAAAATATTCCTTGGAGAGGAAGATTTTGTAACGTAAGGGTCTGAGTAGAAGGTCTGTCTGGTATTCGTAAGCCACCAGACAGTTATTGTCATGCGTTACTTTAAGGCCCGGTCTACAATGAGTTGTTAGTCGTTAGTCAGAAGTCGGAACTATATGTCGGTCCTTTTCTTCCACCCAGAAAGGAAAAGGATCAACATATAGTTACGACTTCTGACTAACGACTAACGACTCATTGTAGACCGGGTCTTAGGCTCGGTCTACAATGAGTTGTTAGTCGTTAGTCAGAAATCGGAACTATAGGTTGATCCTTTTCCTTTCGGGGTGGAGGAAAAAAGGACCGACATATAGTTCCGGCTTCTGACTAACGACTAAGGCCCAGTTTCACCAAACGTCGCTTAACTTTAATCTTATCGTTAGTTTAATTCTCGTTTGTCCCTTTTTTCAAGTAATGGTTGGAAAGAAACAAAGCACGAATTAAGCTAAGCTTAAACAACGTTGGTGAAATCGGGCCCTAAGACCCAGTTTCACC